TTGAGCATTCCATGACAGCTTTCTATAGATCGATCTTTTCAGAGTTCCATCAGTCCTTTTGATAAGTTCATATTGAGGATATGAATACTAGACTCGTTCTCCATTTCGAATGTGAGTTTTACCGCTGGATGACAACCATTAAATGCATTTAATATGTTATTCAAATTATAATCACTATTACAAATAATAAAGGTGTCATCTACATACCTGGATTGCTGACTTCAACTGACCATTTTCTAGACTGGCTATAAAACTGTCTGCAAGAAGAATACCCAAAGAAGTACTTATATATAAAAACCATATATATATATATATATGATTGTACAGCTTGATACTAAATTCGTTGAGAAGAGTCTTTTCGCTGAATCCCTTGTTTTGATTTTATAAACAGTTAGTAGGTATATCTTAAGTTTTATCAAAATACTTGAATGCAAAGAAATTAAAATTGCTTGTCAAAATAAAAAAGAAGAAACATTGATGTTTAATAAATTAATTAACGGTTGAAAATACTTTTAAAGCAGTATTCTTTCTTGAAACATGAACATAATGAATATAAGTATAAAACTTGGGCACTGTGGTAGAGTATAACTCTATTATAGACAAGATTTTATTTTGATAAATCACACAGTGTTGTACAGTAATATTAAATGGTAACTGAGGGTGAATATAATCAACTTTTAAATAAATGAAAATTAGCCTGTGTTTGTGAATTTGAAGGATTCGTGATAACTGAAAACATTTCTAGGGTATAGGACTTAGTGATTTTCTGCAACAAAAGCCGTGTAATATGATATCGATAATGGAAGATTTCACTCTCCTAAAACTTTATCCAGAGAAAAAGTCCAGTTACTGTTGGCATTTCAGAAAGAATGGGAAGCAGAACACAATTATTTAAATTTATTTTCTCAGATGTATATAAGCTAATGTCTACTTTGGTTTCAGTAAAGTTGCAAGATTACTCGTAATAGATTCTATTTGCATATTGGAAATGACTTCTACAATCTACCAACTGTTGGTTTTAGAACATGAGGTATTACCACTATTTTCTATTACAGAGTGTCGTAAAATTTATTTGATTTTAAATAGTCGGTTGAATACTATAAATGTGCTCAATATTAATTCCACAAATGTATTTATTAATCCAGAAAACAGAAGAATAACATAGGGAAAGTTCGTAAAAACAATTACACTACTAAAACAATGAAGGAAGGGAGTTGAGTAGTAGTTGGGAAAATCAGTCTGATCAGATTTCTAAACTACCATTTGCACTGTGAACTTTCTTCTTGATAAGAGTTTAAAAATTATAGACATCGGCTGGACAGTAACAACATACCTCATTTACATACCAGCTGAAATATAACAGCATTAAAGATAACTTTGTAACTATGTGTTTTATCTTTTCAGAGGGACTCCAAGTATTTGGCTGCCACTAAAAGCATAGATCACCAAACCACTTCATTTTTTTATTCCTTTACATTCCTAGTGGAACATAGGGCTTCATCTAGAGGCTTGAAGTTTCGGTAGCAGTGATGTTTATTTTTACTGGATGGGATTGCTAGCCTCATGCCCAACCTTCCCTCTTTATCGGTCTTATTAATGGCTTAGCAAGGTAAAGGAGTGCGTCGGCCGGGGATCGAACTCCGGACTGTATGCATGGTCAGTGAACATTCTGCTGCTGTGCCACTAACGCACAAACCACTTCATACAGAATATAATTAAAAATGACCTCAAAAATTAATCTTTTCTATTGAACTGAGTGAAATTGTTAAATGAAGTTTTCTGTTGTATATTAATCTCATAAATAAATGCTTCGTACATACATACATACAAGCATACTAACTTGTAATTGTAATTCTGAGTAACCCAACTGCAGTAAATCAAAGAGCAACACAGACAGGAATTCATATTTGGCAGAAATATTTCTATTATATAATTATAATAAATATTAACCAACAATAATGAACATTTAAGCAATGCATTAATATAAATTGTTAATCATTACAATATAATAGGCAGTCATATTAATATTTTCCTGACATTAATAAAATTTTCTACTAGCATCTGAATTTCACCAACCCCGGGGGTGGTTTGGGGTTTGATCACCGGCCAACTCATTGTTTCACCCCACTAAGCCAGTAATAAAACTGCTAAAGAGGTGAGGTTGGGCATGAGCCTAGCAACCCACCCCGTAAAAATAAATTCTATTGTTACCGAAACTTCAAAGCTCTAGCTTGAAACCCTATGTTCTGCTGGGAAAGTAAAGGAATAAAAGGATGATAATAATAATCTGAGTTTCAGAGTTGTCCAACACTCTTCAAGAGGAAAAGTGGCAGGTTTTTCAAATTGTACAGTTCCTTTTTCCAGTATTTACTGACTCAGCAATAGGATTGTTCTTTTCAGAAAATCTACACAGTATTCTACCAGCATCTCTAATTCAATTCGATGATCTTTATTTTGCAAATGACTGGGTTTTCTCTTTTCTCCAAAATAATAAGGCATGCGAAAGACAAATAGTTTGGAAGCTGTAAAGCTTACTTTTTGTCTTCTTCAGGCCAGTTAAATCCACTTCTGTTCAGTTTTGAACTCTTAGACTTATTCACACTTAAACGGAAGAATTAACTTTGTAAATGTTCAGTCATATTCTGTCACGAAAAAATATATTAGGTGTGTGTTATACTGCACTGGGGTTTAATGCCTAATACTTATTCGTTCAAAACAATGAATCTTCTACTAACACTGTGTACAATGGTCTAGGTTTCAAGGTGAATGAAAAGTAACATACTAAGCTTTAATGATAGCTCTCACCAACTGCTTTGAAGAAATACAATAACATAGCAGTTATTAGTGTATACAACAGCAGTATATATCAGTGTTAGCAGGGATAGTCTCTTTTAAAACTACTCTACTAGATTTATCAAACTGCAACTCTACGCATCATCATCGAACAAAGCATAGAATGCTAGTCAAACCTGTACCTCAGCTTCATCGACTTCGAAGAGGCCTTCGACAGCGTAGATCGAGAAGTAACTTGGAAACGACTTCAACACTATGGCGTGCCCAAAATCTTTGTCAACCTCGTTCAACAGCTATATGACATTGCCACGTTTCAAGTGATCCACAACGGAAAACTCAGAAAGGCCTGTCCCTAAAGTGAATCCAGGAGTAAGACAAGGCTGCCTATTATCACCGATGATATTCTTTATTGTGATGGACTGGATTATGCATCAGACTGTTAGGGGCGAGGAGTGAGGAACACGCTGGATGACCAATAAGAAGACTTTAGAAGATGTGGATTTAGCAGATGATATGCGTCTAGTGTCACACAAAGCCGAAGACTTGCAAGCCAAAACCAACAACCTGGCTGAAGAGGCAGGCAGAGAAAACAGGACTGCGGGTGAACAAAGAGAAGACGGAGGTGATGAAGATAACCAACCGACAGCAACAACAACCAGCATCAATCACCATCAACGGGAGAGATTTAACAGAGTTTGCCTCCTTCACTTATCTAGGAAGCATAGTTTCAACTGCAGGCGGAACGGACGAAGATGTCAAAGTCAGAATCGCAAGGCAAGATACGCCTTCATCAACCTGAAACCAGTTTGGAAATCCGCCTCCGCATAAGGGACCAAATTCGGATTTTCAACACATATGTGAAGTTGGTTCTTTTCTAAGGGTCAGAAACTGCGTGTCACGATAAGGATTTCCAGTAGGTTGCATACTCTCACCAACAACTGCCTTCGCTCCATACTGAAGATCAAATGGCTGGCGAAAAAGAATGAGCAACAAGAATTTATGGGAACAAACCAACCAAGAGACGATCGCTCAACAAATATGTAGGAGAAAGTGGAGATAGATCGGGCATACACTGAGGAGGCTGCCGAATGACATCGTACGCCAGGCCATTACTCTCGTGGGGTCCAAACGGGAGGCGACGAGTGGGTTGCCGGTGCGAGCGTGATACGGAGGAGATGGTGCGATGAAGAGATGAGAGAGTTTGGTCAAACGTGGACCCAAGTGAAGAGAACGGCAGAGAACAGAACTAAGTGGAGATGTGTAGTCGAAGCCCTATGTTCCACTCGGAACAGAAGGGAATAATAATAAATATACTAAATCGATTTATAACTCAGGTAAGAAGTATTCAAAGATCTGCTAACGAAGTCAAGCTGAAGTATTCTTAAATTACTATTTGCTTTGAAATTCCGATTTATTTTTCATAATTAATGTTGAATAATAAAAAATAACATTCACTTATTCTTCTGGAGGTATTAAAAGAGAGTAATAAGACTAGTTAATTTTAGTGAGCTATCTATATAGTAAAAGTTATAAGCTGTAAATTCCATTGTTTCAACAATTCACTTAAGTTGATATTGATTCTGTTATTCTTGAGGATTATCACACATTTAAACAAAATTATCATGGATGTACTAATCGTAGAAAACTGGAAAGGATATGCGTTATATACGACTTACTGATCAAAATTGAGACAGGTTATATTCTCTTCGAGTAAAGAATAACTAGAATCATTTAACTTTCAACCTATCACTACTTGTCACTATTATAGTTTTATTCAAATTGAAAGGATAAGTTACATGTCAGAAATAAGTCTATCAATGTAATTATTTCCACAGATTACTAATTTTATATTATTGTTTAACATATGAATTGCCATAAGACTCAGTTAACATGAGATACCTATCATGTGTGTAATTTGAGCTAAATACTTTCTATGCACAAAAAGAAAGTTTACTAGTTCACATGAAATAATTTATGAAACTTTGACTTTCTACTCTGAATGCTATTATTTTCTTTTTTTGGTACTTAAGTTTGAACAAAAAGAAACTACACAGTTAAATAGAATTCATGTAATTAATTGAAAATCCCTCAAACTTTTGTTTTTTTTTGTTGTTGTTGTGAAAATCGATCTGCCAAGGTTGTTTAGTTAGTATTGACCAATAGCTGTAAAGTAATTAAAATAACAGTACAAAATTGGTTGAATGACTCAAAGAAGTATGTCTTCTGATTGTTTATTACTTAGATATAATTGATAAAAAAAATGATAACTAACAAAAAAGGTTTTCATTTAAGCTTGATCAGGTGATAAAATTGAAACAGATTTAGATAATAATAATAATAGCAATAATAATACTTGGTGAATACTATTTCATATTACTAAGCTTCTGGAGTGGATCAGGATAACCAACCATTTTCTCAACACTTTCTCTCTCTCTGTGGATAATTGAAGGAGAAATATCAGTCTCAAATAATTTAGCGGTGAGTAAACTTTTCAGTTTTATCAAAGGCAATACAATGAAAAGTAGTTTTTATACTTTAATGGTACGTACTTAACTAGAACGTTTTGAAGTGCTTATATCTCAACTAAACTAATGCAAAAGGAGTTAGTCAGCTTTGGAACATTTTAGCATTTCGTCTGATCTATACATTTGATAATAATTATAATGATTTTACCATAACACATGAAGAAAAACTATCAATAGTTGTTTCATGCATTGGAGGCATTAGGATACAACCTAGTTTGATGTGATATTAAAACCACCAACTAAAAAATATTCAAAGTTATAATTTATAAGAACAAACAAAACCCATCTCCAATCGAACATTAATAGAGAGAAGACTAGTAGTTCAGCGAAGAGTCTCTTTTCGGCGAATTCACTTTCTTAGCTGTACAACCGCAAATATATATGGGTTATATTGTATATATGTGTACATTAAGTTTTTCAAACAAACAAAATCCATGTTGGTTACAACATCTCCGTGTCAAATTTAATTTAGTAAAACAGTGTATTTGTGTTTTACCACTTCTAGGTCGTATCATTTGACTTTCTAAAATATTCATGATGAATTACATTTTGCATCAGATTCTAGGGAATCTGCATTTTATATTTTAACATTTGATGGATACTCTGAAAAAGTAGGGCCTGAACAGCTCACTGGTAACGTCCCTGACCGCAGTACTATGTAAGAAGAGTTTAACTCTTTGAGGTGATATCGAGGTTGCGAACACTGCTCGTTGACGACTGCTACTAAGCAGAAAACGCGGATAGTCGGCCACCTACCATTCGCTTCTAGTCATCTGATAAATTTTACTATCTATAACAGTTAAACATATTCATCCCTTTGTGTACTACGATTCATCTTGATGTTATATATGCGTACATAAATTGTTGGGAATACGATAGAATCTAGCCAGCTGTTTTAATTTTACTAAAAATGGATATGACTACGTGAATCACAATCATGTTGCCAATCCTTTGGAATACACAGGATTGTCAATCAACTATAATTTAGACACTATTCAGTTATACAGAATATTCAAGAGTTAAATGACAACTTACTATGTCTCTTTCATACCTGAGATCTGGGATTTTTAATAACTGGTTTACATGACTGAACCAGCTGGGGGTATCTTCAATATCCATAGCCTTAGATGACAGTGACAAAGGCAAATGTAAAGGTTTTATATCAATAAGAAACACTATCTTCACACATGAGTTGGTAACATATTTTGACATAATCACTTTAACTAGGGTAGTTTCAGCCGATAAAATTAATCTCCATCAAAGAGGATGGTTAGTAAAGGTGAAAGGTGGTTTGCAGAGCTTTTCAATAATTCAACCGGTAGAAAACTAGCTACCTGGCGACCAACAGCCATCTCGAAACCCTTTCTAAGCATTACGCATCACTTCGTATATACAAATACAAGTTTTCACTAATAAATAATATTGTCTAACTGTCATAAGACTTTGAAAGAGGCTACCTGTGATAGATTTATCTTAATTCAGTGACATTTTGACAGTAACTTAAAAGAAGAAGCATATTTTGGAATTTGCTCCTTGGAGGTTTCTGAAGTAATGCCTTAATTAGCTTTGAGATTACTTATAACCAACATAGAATGATCTAATAGTAGAAACACAGAATCTTATAGTGTAACGCTTCACCTTCTGGTAAATGAAGTTGTTAATTTGAATGAAAAATCTAATTTTGGTTTACAACAGTATTTGTAATCGCTCAAAAAATTTTGAAGTTTTATTCTCTAACATTTAGGCTGTTGCATATCAGTCAATCAGTGATGAATATTTTAAAACAGAAGGCATTGAACATGAAACACTAGTTCATTTGAACCTCGTACGTGTCACAACTTTTAAAGAAGCTTCTCTTGAGACTATGATCTGTAAGGGTCAGAACTAACTCCATAGGTCTGTAGTTTTTAGTCTAGTCATAGACTTTACGAAGTTGATGCGAAGTAATATAGTCTCAGTTGGAACAAGAGTTTATCCAAATTAGTAGATACTTCTTATTAGTGAATGATAGAAATCACCAGGTCTAGGTAAAGCGGAGAACCCAGTCATCAACAGAAGCTTAATAACCTGCTTCTATAAAATGTGCGTCGATGGTTCAATAGTAGAATGCGTATCAGCTACGCACGTGATCCAGGCTCGATTCTCAGCCGACACACTCCTAAACCTTGCTTAGTCAGTACTATGCCTTCTGACAGGAAAGGTCTATAGTGAGGTTGTCAACCCCACTCCATAATGGAAAACAAAACTGCCACTGAAACTTCAAACCTGAAGTCTTCTATTCCACTAAGGTCGTCAAGGAATTAGAAGAAACGTTATTGACCGCGTGCGGTTTTTTTAAAGCAGTATGCCATACTCAACTGATTATGCTCAAATAGTTAGTGATGAGGCTTGCACCAAAATTCAAGTAGAAACCTTTCGATTACTCCATTACTAATCCATTCTCAAATATAAGTGACCATTGACGAAATAACATTTATTTTAAGAATAAATTATTATTAATGTCGTTATTATTATTATAGAGAATAAAAATAATTAGCGAAGGCTATATAAATTATTTTGATATATAATTTTGTAGAAATAGATATCAGCAGATTCTTCACATGCATTATGTTTTGAGCTGATAGAATTCATGGTATCTTATTTAAATACATATAAGTCTGTAATACATGAAGAAATTAAAAAACATTCTTTTATTATTTCTAAACACAGATTAAATGCTTCTTCTTCTTCCAAACTACTTAAATGACAACTGAAACACGGGAGTTTTAAAAGACAACCATTATCGTCATCGTCATCACCAATATAATTAAAACAAATCAACGAAATATGCACACTGCACATTCACTTGTTACAGTGAGTTATTCATTTGCTATTAACTTTACTAAATGTGTTTACTGTTTCGTTATTTTAAACTAGTGTGTAATGTGTGTGTGGAATTAAAACAAAAATATGCTTGTTGGAGGATTTAGGCGGGGAGACGTCAGATTAAATTCGTTCCTTGTTGAAGTCACAGATGCTTACTGATAAAGAGTTTCAAAGTGAGATGAAACACCTGTTTAGTTTAGTCTCTGGTTTCTAGTGGTTCTTTCAATGCTGTCAACTTGAGACCAAAGTCAAAATTAATTTAAAAATGCTCGCAAATATGAAGTATTAGCTCATATAATCAAATTAGTTCTATTTTCACCTAATGTAGATGTTTAGTTTACCATGAGTTTTTACTCTAGACTAAATATATCTGACTCAATTTCTATCATTCTGTTAATTTCTTTGAACACTGATCTTTTATGAATTGTTTAAAACGAGCGTGTAGGAAATGGTTACTTGGAGCATGATGCAAATTCAATTTAATGCTGGAAAGTTTCATTTTTACTATGTTGATGTAATCTTGAATGAGTATACCTCACGTTTTTGCCTCCGTTATTGTTGTTACCTTTGTCATCCCTAGGGAGAGTGAAGGTGTGATAATTACGCTTAGCTTAAATGGTACAGGGTCGTACAAGCAATTCGGAGGCCGCTGATTTGAAATCTTACCACAATATATTTTCATTTCACCTATGACCATAAATCATTATGTTAAAATACTAACAATTGGCTTGGAAATCCTGATTAAGTTCATTAAACAGTGACTCTACTATGCGATATCCTTCTCATGCTGCATAATTCGACACATAATACATTTCTATAGCAAAGAAAGGAATGTTTCCAAACACGTGTCAGTAAAACTATAGGTTTTAAATAACAATCAAGAGATTTCATATTAAGTATATATCGAATATTATCACGTAAAAAGACTGAAATACCCTAAAATGTAGAATCACTCGAATGTCACGCGTAACATAAAATTCCAAACATGCCTGGATACATTCGTTTTGCTGTAATGATAATAATAATAATGGCTTTATTCCAAACAGTATTTGTGGTACAGGTATGGAATTTTCAGCGTTCATTACAATATTGCATCTAATTACCTAATAAATTTTATAAGGATTTAAAAATAAAAAGCAACAACAACAAAAAGAAAAAAAGAGAAATAAAAGAAATAAAAAAGAACAGCATTGCATTCACATATTTAAACAATGCACCACAGGATATGATATATAAAATTAGTGTGTAATAGAATATATGAGCAACAATATAATAGTAACAAAGAAAGGAGAGCAAAAGCTAATGGGAACTATTTGTTAGAGTTCCGCAGTAAGGTGATCGTGTCATGCCTAACAGTTTTCTCATCACATAACAGCTGTGCCAGATAAGGTATTGTGGAGTTTTTATACTTGGTAGTCCTGGCATATAGCTTCCTATAGTTGCTTCTAGTTCTACCAGATGAAATGCAAGGAGAGAGCTGCGTATGGAGAGGGTGTTTGGGGTCTGACAATATAGAATTCGCTAGTTTCTTACATGACATTATATGTCTATCCACAATAGTGTTAACCAGTTGGTTTAACGAAATCCCACTTCCCCTACTAACAGCTTTTAGTGCCCTATGCAGCCAAGCAAAATCTTTCTTAAGTAGTCCAGGGAAGATTAATGGGGAGCAGTAAAGAGGGATGGGTAGAATACAGGAACTGATAAACTGAGAAAGCCAAGACTGCTTTATACCAGACTGTCTAAACTTCCTAACGTAAAACGTTAAGCGAAACATCTTTCTAGTCACTAGCAAGATGTGAGAGGACCAGGAAAGATCGGAGGAAATACTCAGTCCAAGGTACTTGACATTAGATGTAGTTTCAACCTCTATGCCGTCAATGACAGTGGGACCAAGTGAGCTAGCTAGTTGTTGTAAGTCACTTTTTCGTCTGAAAGTAAAATTTACTACCTGACATTTAGACGGATTCAGCTTAAGACCGTTTGAAGAGGACCACTGACTAATTTCCGAGAGGAAGTTATTTAATATGGAACAGTCTGACTGAGAGTTGACAGGCATGGAGACAGAGAGGTCATCAGCATACTTGACAAAATTTGCTATATCAGAATGGGGCAAGTCATGTTCTCAGTGAAACACTAGGAGTATTTGAAGGCATACACATGCTGTGCTCACGCCAATTCCTCCATCGTTTTAGTGCTTAATGCTGGCCAAGCGAGGCAAAGCAGTTTGAGGCAGAAAGGTCAAAAACCGCGAGACTACAACGGTTCATCTGCTTCCTAAAAATTAACCCCGACGAACTTAAAACCATCACCGATGGGTTGGGAGTAGAACCGCTAAAAAGAGTAACTCCACACTGAACAACTCCTTGAAATGATATCTTACTCAATAAGACATAAAAACCTATCTTGAAATATTGATAATGACTGAATTAAGTGTATTTTTTTTTCAAATAATTATCACTTACACACATTAATAAACCTTCAATATCACACGTAAACTTCAGGTAACATGAATCAATATGTTTGGTAACATTTTTCACCCAATCCACATGCAGTACACAAGGTCAGTTTATCAATGTCTCCTACATTTATAGGCAGAAAAATGATCGAAAAATCACTAGTATTTTTACGATCATATGTAAGATGAGATTAATATCTAATTGTGATCAATTTATCTTCTAAACTACATCAAACTACAAATAAGAATTGCGAGTGCACGATAAAATATAGGATGATCATATCATTCTTAGAGAAAGGTCAATGAGAATTTCAGTAACATAATAATCAATGTAGTTAAATATTCACATGCATTGTTGTTGTTGCTGTTATTGCTGTTGTACCATTAATGGAAATGAATACAAATGGTGAATGAATGCAACTGCTTTTCATGCAGCAAAAATATCCACATTTACCATTTCCTAAAATATCCACACATCTATTGCCATCATAACTGATGTTTCCAACTATGCCAATCGAAGACCATAAGACTGTGAGTTGTTGAAATGTTCTGCAAATTTCCTGTCAATCAGTTCAATAAAGATGAATTACCCACTCGTGGGGACATATACATGCATATATATGTGTTTGTTTTGAGGCTGTTTCTAAATTATTACAATGCAGATAATCAATAAAAGCCTCTCTGAGAACATACATGAGGTCAATCTGTGAAGACATGCGAAATGCACAACGCTACTCTTACATCATTGCATAAAACTTAATTCCACTCTCTATGCAACTCTTCTTGAAAACGTCAATTATGAATATCATTATGAGTGGAGAAAAAAGTCACTAAACTAGTTTCATCATCATCATCATCGTCACTGGAATGAGAATACGTCTTTGATTGACTATTTATAAATAAATACATAAAACTAAAACTAAAAATGACATGATTTCTATGTATGCATTAAAGATTAGGTATTTGAAAGTCATTATTTCAATCTCTATCAATACATACATAGACGCGCATATTACAGGTGTGTCGTACAACACAGACTTTATTTCTGTGCATCTAATTTTAGCAATTTTACAGATTGAGAAATAATTCACATAATAATAATAGTAATGAAATCACAAAACTCTCACTTGTTACAGATCATAACTAAAACTTTTATAAATTGTAGTTTATTGTGTAGACTAAAGAGATTTTGTATATACAACTGTTGATACTTTCCTGTTAGCAGTACATAACTGCTTACGATAAGGATGAATGTTAATGGATGACAGTAGTACTTGTCTATCGAGAACAAACGGGATGGCTTGAAAGAAAATGCATGTAAAGACACAATTGGAGTTATTGGCTAACAGGAAGCTGACTATCAACTGTACATACGAATTTGTCTCATTCACCTAACGATGTATTCACAGTTTGAATTTCAATTATTCATACTAACTGAAATTGAGTTTGTCTTCACTACAAATGCATACAGTGTGGTGACCATAATCAGGTGTAATCACTGAACACATTCTTTAACTTATTATTCAGCTTTCTCTTTATTTCACAGTTTCTAACATGATTCCCACAAATATACTTCACACGGAAGGAAGAGCTAATACTGAGATACTTTTCAGATACTTGTTTTGTGACAGGGTTAATAAAAGATAAGACGTTCAGAGAAGTGTTACTCTTTCCAGCGATATCATTCTCAGGCTGTTTTTTTCCTTCACGTTCCCCAGTGGAACATAGGGCTTCAAGCTAGTGGCTTAAGGTCTCTGTAGCAGTGTTTATTTTACAGGATGGGGTTGCTAGCCTCATGCCCAAACTTTCCTCTTTACCAGCATTACTTCTGGCTCAGCGAGGTAAAGGAGTGCGTTGGCGGCCGGGGATCGGACCCCGGACCAAGTGCATGGTCGGCGAGCATCCTAACCGCTATACCACCGACTCACTTCTCAAACTGTTTAATCACATAAATGCAGTAAATTACTCCATTATAGAAAAAAATGTATATTTTTAAAGTCTCACGGTGTTATACAGTAATATTTTCAGATGACGCGTTGACCACAATTTACTGCTCATAATCACATCAAGTTTTGCACACAGATTTCTTGCTTATCAACAAACTCACATAGCTTTTTCAGACAGTCGCGAATTCACAAACCATTGGATTTTTAACAGTTGGTTTTACAAATTATATCATTCCTAAACACTTATGCCTACACATTACAATTACGTCAAAAAAATTAAATCAGAAGCGCAACAGTTCAGCAGAGTATATTATTGTGAAGAACTACACAAAGTTATTGTGAAGCTAAACAATATACGAAATGAAATTGTAAAACTTAAACACGAACTCAAGTGTATGATTGATGACAAAAATTATCCAATTATGACTGAAACATTCAAAATAGCTTAAGAAACAACCTCAACGAAATCAGAAAACACGCAAATTAGGAAATTCAACAAATTCTGATAAGAAAGTAAGAACGCATTATGTGAGGACGTTGAAGACGTGGACAAAAACTCAATTTCAGTTAGTATGAATAATTGA